TAACGATAATAAAAACAATAACAGTGTTAAAAAGTAGTACTAATTTTATCGAAGATTTTTATGAAGTGATTGGAGTTATGGTAGAGTAGGTAACGGTGCTGGTAGTTTTATCGATCTTTGTTAATTGTTATAGTGGTGGTTGTGTATGTGAGTGTGTTGGTAGCGTTGGCAATAGTGCAGTTAATGATAGATGGAAGTGGTTATGTTTTGATGGGTTTTGTGTTCTTGCGTTTTAGTGTCTTGCCATTTTTTCAGTAGTTTCATTCCTGGCTGTGTTCAGTTTTTTTTGTGGGTGTTATCCGTTTGGTATGAACTGTGATAGTAGATATTTATTTTCGTGTTTGCATTTTGAAATTATTTCCAATCTTTTGGTTTAGTAATTCCTTTTGTTGAGTGTGGGTAATCATTGTCACCTTTTCACGTAAACAAAGTAGACATCTTTTTCATATGTTATTGTAGGCAGGTGTGATCTTCATGATTTCCCAGCTTATTTTTAGTATGATGTTTCTGCTTTTTATTTGCCATATGTATGTGGATAGTGTGGTGCTGATGGAGTTTTTTCTGCTGGAGAACGAGAGGTTGTGGGTGTATTTTCTTTGCTTGAATATTCCTTCTGTGACGTCAATGTATTATATTATAGTGTTGTTTGCGTTTACCTTTACTTTGTATATTATGTGCCTTTGTAGGCAATTTCCTTGTAGTGGGCATGTAGTTTTGTCTCTGTAGTTGCATTAGAGGTTTTTGATTTTGATTACGATATTGCAAGTTATTATTTTTTGTTGTGGCTTTTTATTATTTGTGTTATGTTTTTAGTGCAGCTGTAGCTAATTTTTACGTTAAATATTTTTGTTAAGGGTTTTTTACGGAAAAGTGTTTATATATATATATATATATATATATATATATATATAATACGAATATAGGTGAGAGGTGGGGGAGGAAAGCGCTATAATATAAAGGAACTCACTCTTAGGATATTTTGAGAGATGATGTGCCTGGACTTTTGACCGGTGTTTATCAGCAGGAAAATTTCCACAGACCAGTCAACATTAAACACCCAATCCATTTATCACCAAACTGCTATCAACAAGGACTATTGTTTCACTCCGTCACCTATATATATTCTTTTCTTCTCAAACAAATGGAAAAAAGGAAGTGACGTTTCACACACGGCTTGCCTAGAAGCAGGATTTTTCATAACCATATTTGATTCTCACCCGTCGAAGTGCAGTTGAAATGCACTGAAACCAAGTTGCATCTTTGTAGTGAGTAAAATGGTTTTATCTATATGATAAAATTATAATAAAGGAATAATTATCGCTCTACTACAACCTAATCGAGCCATTTTTTGGATTAATGCTGTGAACGTTGGAATTTATATATTACTTTCGTTTTCATCGCATCGGATATACATATATATATATATATATGAATGCGCTCTGTTATTTCATTTTACCTTTTCACACGGTTACGCTTAAATTGCCAAGTGTTGCTAATGTAATTTAATTAATGTATATTTCGGCAGTAAATTTAAAATGTGTATATTTAGGCAGCATAATATGTCTATTTTTATTTTAATCCTTTCCAAGTCTCTGGTCAACTTCTTTATGTTGAAATTAAATTCATTAAGGAAGGCACCTTAGTTTTTTTTTTCTCCAAAGTACTTTCAATCTCATCTGAGGTTATCTTCAATTGATGGTTGTGATTATTTTGTAAATACGCATGAAACGCACTGTTATAATTACTTTATTATATATCTATATATCACACCGGCACTGGTGTGTAACAGTCCAGAAAACCTCTTCTATGTGCCATGCTCTTTCGCTCCCTTAAGACGTGGGTGATAATAGTTTCGTTCGGCTTCGTTTCGTTTGTTTAATGGTATATCCTTATAGTCATTTAATGCAGAAATTTAATTTTCTTGGTAAGCTTTGGTAACATTTTTTATTTAAAAAAACGTATTGCTGCTAATTTTTTTCTGCTATGAAAATATATTTACTATAAAAATGCAATTTTATATTTTCATAATTTTTAACCTCTGTTTAGGCGTTCACTATTTGCCTATAGCTGGGACTCCCCCAACAGGTGCTACCACCCCGTTTAGGGTGAATCTGGGAACAGTAGTAATTAAGAGGCGGTTCCACGCTCTTCAAAACCTACCGATCAGAGGCCTTGCTGCCAGATATAGTTTATCGCCATACCCAGGACGGGGTGATGATAGCTCTACACAAGTTCCTGTACATTATAGCGCTTAATAAATTTTGTTTTTTGCTATCTGTCCCAAACCCTGCATTTATGTTGCTTACGTCTCTTCTTCATCTGTGAGGATATTGTTCAGCATTCATTGTCATATAGTAAGAGTGACATTACATAACAGTTCAGTACTCTTTTTATTGATTTATAATGATTTTTTTCTATTTCTTAATATGTTGCTTTTCTTTTGGAAGGCATCTTCCGCTATCCCACTGTGCCTTCGGATTTCAGTGTCGCACTTTCTGTCCACTGTTCAAATATTTCCCAGATGTTTAAATTTTTGTACTTGTTAGGTTTCGGTATTTCCATTTTAATATTTGTATGTTCGCCTGTTCCTTTTGCTAACAGTCATGTATTCTGTCTTGCAATTGATATTTAGTCCTTTCTTGTCGCTTTCCTTCGCTACCTTCTGTAGGAGTTCTCGTAATTTCTTTCCTGCTAATGTCTGCTACCAACATTGTGTTATCTGCATATATTACGTTGTTAAGATTGTGACTGCTAATAATGAATCCTGGTAGGACTTCTAATTCTCTCAGAATCGCTTCACTGTATAGGTTGAATAAGTCCGGTGAGAAGACACATCCTTGTCTTACACTCTTTTCTATTTTTGTATATCTGCTGAATTCATTTTCTGTTCGTATGCAGGTGGTTTGGAGCCAGTATAGGATATCGATTATTCTAATATATTTCACAAATACATCAAGGTTACCAAGCAGTTCTAACAGTTCTTTGTGACGTACAATGTCAAATCCTTTTGCATAATCTATAAAACATAGTTATACATCCTGCTGTTTTTTTTATTGCTCTTTCTGATATAATTCTGAGCATAAATATTGCATTCCTTTTTCCAGTATCTTTAACGAACCCGCACTGTTCTTGTCCTATTTCCGGTCTGGTTCTAACTAATTCATTAGAATTTGGAAAAGTTTTATTATATGACTCATAAAGTTGATTGTCTGATTGATTTCATATTCATTTGCACCTGGATTTTTTAGCCAGTGCTATGAAAATGAATTTATTTCTGTTTTCAGGTATATCACCACTATTGTATATTTCATATATTACAATGGTAATCTTGTCAATTCCAAAATCATCGAAGTCAGTCAGCATCTCCATTACGATTCCGTCTTTTCTTGCTGCTTTTTTTATATTCAGTTTGTCCATTGTTGATTCCACTTCAGATCTTAATATTTCTGGTCCTTCGATATTTCTGTGTCTTGCCGGGTTGTTCTCTTTCGTTGAGAAAGAATTCTCTGATGTATTCGTCCCATCTCTGAAGTATTTTACTTTCTCAGTGTCCCGTGCTTGGATTTTATGCTCCCTGTTAATAAGCATGTCCTGTTCTCTTATTTATTTATTTATTTTGTGCATACCTGCTTTATCTCTGATACTCATTTTTTCTAATTCTGCAAATTTTTCGTTGAGTCATTTCTCGTTAGCCTACGTGAATTTCTTTGTGCAGAGTCCTATATTCTGTACCGTGCCTTGACATTGATTTTGTCTCTTTTTCATCTTGTCGAGAATTTAATCTGTCGTCCATTCTTTTTTCTTTGTCTACTTTCCTTTGGGATGATTCTTGGCGTCCCCCCTTTCGGTCGAACGTATGTGAAAGTCGCACCCACGTAAACATCAACTGAGTCTGATGAAGTCCTGAAAGACGAAACGTCTCACACGAAAAATTTTTTTCCATTTTATCATATATTTTCCCTAAAATATACAGACATTAGAAAGCCCTTTATTCAATCCATGGATGTTGTTTCCGTGTCATTTAATTATCTCTAGTCCATCCCCCTTTTTATCGTAATGATCGACTTAGGGATTGAACTCGCAACCTCCAGAACAGGGCATTTTAACAGAAACAAACATTAGTATACTCTGTCCTATAAAGGTTTCTTTTTCTTTGATGGCGTTAAATCGTTTCTTGCATTGTCATAAGTGTCATTTACAATTAATTAGACATGAAATCACTTTTAATTAGACATATAATATTTGATGCATATGATTGATTAAATTTATTTAATGCAATTTTGATGTTTTAGTCCAAATTATTTCTTTATACATTTGATTATTAAAGCTATTTTTTATTAAGGAGAACTGACACATTTAGGCAATTTGTTTTTAATTGTAGAACGTAATTAAATGAACAATTAAATTAATTAGATTAATTAATGTAATTACTTTGAGTAAATAATGAAATGAAATAAACGCTTTATTCTACACAATTAAAGACGAATAAAATGAACATTATTTATGCCATATTTTGATTGGCTCATGTGCCAAGATGGTTACGGCTCTTTTATTTTCTCTGTTTGCCACTTGCATACATGCAAGCACACATACTTTATAGGACAAAAGTTTGGAGTGCCAAAAAATCCTCTAAAGGTTGAATGTTGCGAGCCTATTTCAAAACTAATTACTAAGTGTTCAGGTCAGAGGAACATTTTTCTTAAACAGTTTTATCGTATATTTAATGATAATAACGAAATTAACCAATTACTGCATAAATTTCCTTTAAAATTTCAGCTCTTTTTGCTCAATCTAACTTGGTAATCTTAGGGCTGTCAGATTTCAAAGCTACAAAGGACAGGAAATTGTGGAGAGCCATGATCGCCCACGTCCTGAGGGGACATTTCACATAATAAAGAAGAAGCCTATATTTCTTTCTTATCTGATTGATCTCGCAGGAAAATATGAGGTTTATTCTAACCATAAAAAATGGAAGATTCTTTTCTTTTTGTTTTGGATACTTTTCGTGGCAGTTTTAAAAATGTGTGCGAGGAGGAGTAGCAAGGAGGCCGAGTTGTTGCGCGCGCGACCGAAGCGGCAGTCGTCCACAATTTTGTCGAGGACATTGACGGCGGCGTGGACCGTACACGTCACCACGTCGACATCGGCGGGAGACGGAGGCTTGACGGCGGGAGACGGAGGCTTGTCGGCGGGAGACGGAGGCTTGTCGGCGGGAGACGGAGGCTTGTCGGCGGCATCCGTCTGTTTAAGTGACTCAATTCCCTCAGAACCTTAACAAGTGACCATAAAGATTTGCCCTGGCGGAATATATCTTTATATTTAAGCTCTGTGTTTTCTTTACTTTTGAAATAACTGACTTAAAATGTTTGTCTCTAGCTGTATTTTTTAAACATTTGTAGATTAATGCTGGGTTAAATAATAGAATTTGCATCTGGAAAAAATTTACTCTCAAAAAAAAATATTGTTAATGCAATAATAAATAAAAAGGGGATATTACAATTAATGATATGTTTCGGTTTTAAATAACAAAGGGTTGATAGCTACATTGAAAAGATTATTTGAGATGATCAATTATATACACTATTTACATTATTCGACTATTGTCCTCATCAAAACCATATTTATTACAACGTTTCGGCTTTTTCAGTATCTGTTTGCTTTTCTGAGATGAGGTAAAATGTACACTATTTGCATTATTCGGACTATTGGGGTAGACTAGTTCCACATCCACTAGATATGGCACGTGGAACTAGAACAGTCTACCGCAGTGAGCGAAATAAAGGGTTCAGTTCGACATTCCAACACCTGAAGAAGGCCGGTGCGTATTGTCGAAACGTTGTGATAAATATGGCGACAAAGATGAGGGCAATAGTCCGAATAATGTAAATAGTTGTTATGGAGTAGTTTCACAAATCGTTAGGAACTTGATATAATAGGTATAACGCAGAGTAATCTAAGTTGTGGTCGCTGATAGTTTAGTACTCGACTAACGGTCGTCCGACATCAACTGACTGACCAAGTCACTGAGCGACTTAGCAACTCCTACTTATTATAGGTGGGAGAGTCTATTAACTATAGAATAGGTGTGTTCCACTATAACAATAGTGTAAACTGTTGATAAGCCGTAAAATCAACTAACGCCAAAATCCTGGGCCGAGTTGAATAAAATGGATGTAATCTGGAAAGCTGATCTACCAGACAACCTCAAACAGAGATTCTTTTGAGCCACTGTAGAGGTGGGGTTAATGTATTGTGCCATTGCCTGGACATTAACTAAAACCCTAGAGTTTAAGCTTGATGAAACCTACACTCAGATGCTGAGAGCTGTATTTAACATCTGCTGGAGATAACATCCAACTAAATCACAGCGCTATCCCTGATATTTCTACATTCTTACGTGAACCCATAATGTATTTACAGGACACGGCTTGCGAGCAAAGCAACAACTTGCGAGCGATCTACTGCTCTAGACATCTAGCCATGGCGCAAGACGGACTGGTTGCCCAGCAACCACTTACATTGACCAGCTATGTTATAACCCCCTAATGGCTTTACGACCTAGATGCAGGACTGTGGTGGTTGGTGTAATAGAGTCATGAATGTCTGAGCTAGTTCGTCCGAACTGCGAAACAGGAGGATTTCTTTGGTGACAAAGAAAAGAATACTACGTGACATCTGTCCTCCTATACGGCAGCAAATGTCGGACAGTCTCCTCAAGGATGAAGAAGAGACTCGAGGCAGCCGAGATGTGGTTCTACAGAAGAATGCTGAGGATATCATGGAGCGAGCGTGTGAGCAACGATTAGGTCTTTGAGAGAATCCAAACAAGGAGGAAGCCTATACTTAACATAAGGAAGAGGCAGATGAAGTTTCTGAGACACGTAATGAGAAAGAAGGACCTGGAGAATCTGATATTCACAGGTTAACTAGAGGGAAAGATAGACAAGGGAAAGAAACGCGTGACATATCTGGCGGACTTAAGCAAGTGGATGGCAGAACGTGGTCTCGTAGAGTTGGAACAGGGACGAAACTTATTGAGAGCCACAAGAGATAGGGGGAAGTGGAGAGCCATGATAAGAAAGAGGCAGATGAAATTTCTGGGACACGTAATGAGAAAGGATGGCCTGGAGAATCTGATATTCACAGGTCACAGGTCAAATAGAGGGAAAAAGAGACAATGGAAAGCAACGCGTGGCATACCTGGCGGGCTTAAGCAAGTGGATGGCAGAACGTGATCTGGGAGAGTTGGAAGAGGGACGAAACTTATTAAGAGCTACAAGAGATAGGGAAAAGTGGAGAGCCATGATCGCCTACGTCTTGAAAGGACACAGAACATAAAAAGTAAAGAATAATTAGGATCTGTTTATAATGTTTATGGATCTTTAATCCGGTTTTTTGGAGATTACCGTTTCTCTTGATAATGGCCACAAGAATAGTGGAAAGATTTCAGACATAATCATCACAATGTTTCCATTCACAGAATCACAAGTTCTCTTTACCTATGTCGCTTATTTCACAGACTACGACGAGAGACATATGGAAAAGGCTTGTTCCTAACGCCTACGTCAAACAACGGATCTTCCGCTCTAACCATCGTGTCGCAACAGACACACACCATCGGATTCTTACTCGATTCTTGTATTCATTGTACAAAGGCGTTAAAAAAACGCATTCTTCGCGCTAGGTTTCCATATTTTCTTGCAGTTGCTGCCATTTCGTATAGCCACGTGACTCTCGGTCACTTTTAGCCGCGACTCGTTTCACAAATGGCAACCGCTTTCCTTTCTCTCGCAACCTTCTGCCAAAGATGTTACGCGTTGAAGAGATATTCAGTTTTTCTTTCTGGTCGATTGTCGTCTACGGTTTCACATTCACGTAGCATTGACTCTTCATTGTAAGGTCAGAGTAAATTGATGCTTGTCGTCATTTCCATTCCAGAGAGATGTTTCCTCTTTTCTTTTTCTTTTTTTTTAACAAGATGCTTCATTGTAAATGTAAGATAGATAGATAGATAGATAGATAGATAGATAGAAACACATTAAGATAGATAGATAGATAGATAGATAGATAGATAAAAACAGATTAAGATAGATAGATAGAAGCACATTAATAGATAGATAGATAGATAGATAGATAGATAGATAGATAGATTAAACCCATTAAGATAGATAGATAGAAACACATTAAGATCGATAGATAGATAGATAGATAGATAGATAGATAGATAGATAAAAATACATTAAGATAGATAGATAGATAGATAGATAGATAGATAGATAGATAGATAGATAGATTAAACACATTAAGATAGAAACACATTAAGATAGATAAAAATACATTAAGATAGATAGATAGATAGATAGATAGATAAAAATACATTAAGATAGATAGATAGAAGCAAGTTAATAGATAGATAGATAGATAGATAGATAGATAGATAGATAGATAGATTAAACACATTAAGATAGATAGAAACACATTAAGATAGATAGATAAAAATACATTAAGATAGATAGATAGATAGATAGATAGATAGATAGATAGATAGAAGCATATTAATAGATAGATAGATAGATAGATAGATAGATAGATAGATAGATAGATAGATCGTTTCTTCTGATGAGGCTAACTGAGTGATCGGCGAAACAGAATTCTCCACATAGCCTATTCTATCTATCTATCTATAGTTAATACAACTAAAATGTCTGTCACTTAAATGAATGTTGTTACCTTCAGCATCCCGACTCCAGAATTTTGTACACGGACTCCCCAGGAATCACCCCATCCACTCGTCAGGGGGTACCAGCAATTGACTTTTTATACTTTTTTTTCTATGCAATGATTCAATTATATTTTCATGAGCTGCATGTGTGTGTGCGCTTATGTATAGCCAATATATATCAGCAGCACGTATCTGCGTACGTTTAGGATGTCGTCATTATTTTTCCTTGTCGTCGTTTTTGCTTATTATTATTTTGATGGAGCATTCGTGCATTTTCAACTAATATCTGAAAGAAATTGTGAATATTGACGTAAGTGTTCCTTTAAATGCTCTGAGATTGATCTATGCTCATCTAAGTGAAACGCAAGCCTTCTCGTCAGCATCGTTATTGTAACAGCAATATACGGATTAACATTTTTAATTTAACCTCCTGAAGATGGTCTTAGATGAGATTGAAATTACTCTGGAAAATCAAAATTATTCGAAAGAAAACTTTGGTATTTTTCTTAATCAATTTTCTACGGCCACCAAGAAATTAATTCGTGGACTCGAAAGGATTAAAACTAAAATAAATAGACATAATACGTCTACATTATTGAACCAAACCTATTTGAATGAAAATATGCAATTGTATATATATATATATATATATATATATATATATATATATATATATATATGTAGTCATCCACAGAGAGACCGTTCCGCTGTATCACAGCTCATCAGTGTGGCTAGACATCCGATTGCTTTAAACTGGGATCGAGACCCGATCGATTTAGCATCAGTCAGAGATTCTACCCACAAACTATCGTCGCACAACAGAGTGGAAGAGAAATTTTTAACGTTTTTTCTATGCGAAAGACGTCAGTAGCTAGTTGAGCTCGATTAGAGTAGAAGAGCATTGCATTATCTGCAGCAGCCACTGTTTAAGGCAGCACATCTTCACTCAAGCATGTTTGATTAAATAATCTGGACATATTATGTATGTTTATTTTTATTTTATTTTTAATTTTATTTTTAGTCCTCTCAAATTTACAGATCAATTTCTTAATGTAGTTATTAAACTGATTAAGGAAGACGCCGTAGTTATTTTCATTTCTTTTATTTTCCAAGTACTTTCAACCTTATCCAAGACCATCTTCACAGTGAATTGCTAAGAGAATAAATTAATATAATTGATATTTGTGATTTTGTTTTGTAAATGCGCTCTGTTATAAATGTGAACACATATGAACGCGCTTCCTTATAGTTAATTTGAAAATTAATCGTTAAGAATAATATGCATGAAATTCATAATCTAATCAAAACAGAAGCAATAGAAGACAGACATGACAAAAAAAAAAAAAACTCGTCCAAGTTCCTAAGAAAAAAAATGGCTGCCAAGGAACTACGTAACCATACTCATATAATTTTAAATAAACACAGATAAAAACTAATATCTTTTTCGTATTAAAAAAAATCTGATTATAATTCATAATTACAAGAAAATACTTGACACTCATAACAAATTTTTAAAATATCAATAAAAATCCTATCAACCAAATAAAATTGAATATCAACGAACTGATCACAGCCAACAATGCAGAAGAAGGCAACTTAAAATTTCCCCAAATAATTGGTAACTACAAACTAAGATACATCTATGAAACTATAAGAATACAAAAAAATAACTTCCCTCTCCGTCCTATCATATCCCAAATCCTCACCCTGGTTTATCAATTAAACAAAATTATTAACCAAATCATTGCACCATATATACTTAGTAAATACAGCATTAAATCAACTCATGAACTAATCCAAATCTTAAAAACACAAAAACCCAATAATGAAACCATAGCCTCACTTGATGTTGAAAGTTTATTTACCACTGACCCAGTTAGATAAACAATTGATATAATTATAAAGAATATTTACAACAATCCATCTCTCCCTCCAATAAAAATTAAACCGAACATTACAGAAACTACTTTCGACTTGTACCACTGACATTTCCTTCTATGACCATCTAAATAATATCTACGTACAACGTCATAGAGTTTTCATGGATTCACTTCTGGGACCAACATTTATTAACTTCTACATGGTTAACTTTGAAAATAAGATATGCAGATGTTATACTCCCCATAGTTAAAAACATAGATTAAATACATGAACTACAAAAAAGTTTCCAATAAACTCCGTTCTTAAACTCACATACGAATTTACCAATAACAATAAAATTCCTATTCTTGATATATTGACAGACACCAATAATAATACATTTACTACCTCCGCATATAAAAAAAAAAATAACTGTTGTTGAGTAGTTTTCACAGTGGAGGCTTGTATTTCAATAAGTCGTCCTAAATTAGGTTCGACGTACAAAACGTTAGGAACTTGGAAATAAGAGATAATGACGCAGTAATCTAGTTGTGATGGTTGGTACATCAATGTCCGATATCGACTGACTCGCTCAACACCACTGAGCCGAACTGGCCACTGCTACTACTACTTAATATCTGTGGGAGAGTCCATTACAATAGAATAGGTATTATGGCATAACACTAAGTAGTATAAGCCGGTGCACTCTCAACTATAAAAGCCAATGCCCTAACGATTACAAAACAACTATTATATAAAACTTGATAAACCGTGCAAAAAATTAACCCTTCCACAAAAAATTTCTACACTGAATTAAAAAACATTAAACAAACTCATCAATAACGACTTTCCTAATTGCATTTTTGATGAACAAATTAGACGAGCTATTAGAAATATTAGCATAAATCAAAAAGAACATAATACTTTCTCAAATAACCCTAAACACATAAACCTACTATACTGCAATCAAATACGCGACAAACAAAATAAAAAAATAATGCTAAAAAACCTCAGAAGTACTAATATATTCTCCACTGATCGGAGTAAAAAAATAAAACTAATCATATACTATACTAAATTTAACACAACTAACTTAATCATCCACAATAACTCTTCTCAATATTTTGGAAAAGACCAACATTTTATATTAATTTAAACCTCTTTTGGGAGATTGCATCTATGACAAAAAGTAAATATATATGTTGATTTCACGACAACTACATGATCAAGGAGGCTTATGTCAGATTCAAGTTCCATTACACAACATTAAAAGGAACATTCCTGTCCACATTCACGTTTTAGAGAAATATTAATTGGAAATATAAGTATACTACAATATGAAAATAAAAAAAAAACTTCTATATAAAAAATACAACCAACACTAAATAAGATTAATTAAGAGTAAGAATGTTTTAAAATGCCTACCAAAGCAATGTTTTGGGATACTCAAATTGTAATTTTTTTTAATTAAAAAATGCAGGTTAAATATTTAAAACATTAATAATAAAAAAAAATATAAACCAAGTTACCTCCCTTACGTCCCTTAATTTTTAACAGTTAATTTTTAAATTAACTATAATGGAGTACGTTCATACGTGTTCATAATTATAACAGAGCGCGTTTCATGCGCATTTACAAAAAAATCACAACTATCAATTACATTAATTTTTTTTGTCTTAGCAATTCACCCCTTAATTGAAAGTACATGGAAAAGTAAAAGAAATAAAAATAACTACGGCTTCTTCCTGAATCAATTTAATAACGACATTAAGAAATTGACTGGAAATTTGAGAGGATTAAAATAAAAATAACTAAACATAATATGTTCAGATTATTCAACACAAACATACATACATATATATATATATATATATATATATATATATATATATATATATATATATATATAGGCATTTTCATGTATATCAATAAGATGTTTTTTCTCATGACATGATATGATTGTATACTCCCACAATAATGTTTATTGTTCTGGTTATAAAAAAATTTATAAAAATGTTTTGTTTATTTTTGTTTTATTATTATTATTATTATTATTATTATTATTATTATTATTATTATTATTATTACGGTTGTGTTGAAATAAGTGCTAATTTGATTTGGAACAGGCAGATCGTAAAATAGTGGTATTTCTTAAGGATTATTTTTATTGACAAACAAACGATAGCCATTCTAGTTTATTTGAAGAATTTGAAAAAAAAATACTTTTAGAATTTTAATAAAGCCCAAACATATGAAACTGAATTTATACATTTTCTTTATTCTCAGGAATTGACAACAAAAATGTTGCCCACTATTTGTTTATTTACAAGATTTATTTCCAGAAACTATAGCAATTCTGTCAAAATGGCCCAAATTTCTTGTCTCTAGCTTTCACCTCTTTTTCAGAAATGACTATGGAATCGAAGCGGCCAATATTTTTGTTCTGCGACTCGCAAC